GCCTTTAAATGTGAGAAGCTGCTGCTTTTCTCTGTCTTCTATTGCTGTGAATTAAATATGGTTTGAGTTTTCAACTGTTACAGGACAAAGTAAGTCGTTTGAAGACGTCACCTCTGGCTCTGGGAACTGAAATGAAATGTGAGCCCAGATATTTTAATGAATTCTGACAGTTGCTGCTCAGTGTAGTTAAGCACGTTTCGTTCATCTGCCATTTGATTTGGTGAGAAAATGAGTGTCTTATATGAACCAAGGCCACATTTTGAAACCGATGCAACAGACAAATGAGTTTGAGAACATGTCAGAGACGTAGCAGAGGACTGACGGAGGTTGATACGGATCTTAACCATCAGGCCCCACCCTCACCACCAAACACCACTATGTGTCAACCCCCACTGCTCTGCGAGTACTTTATCATCATCATATTAGATGTGAAGATGTGCAGGATGGTCAATAAGTCCCAGGGATTTCAGATGTGTCGAAAAAAAAAAAAAAATCTATTTCTTTACTTGAGTTTGTCATCCCTGGACTAATCAATGGGCGGCCGTTAGCAGCTCAGATCCCAAAGGCTGAGGAGAAAAAGCTGATTTTTATTGAAGCTGAATATAATGGATCGATATCATGGGCTGTGTGGATGGTTCCTCTTGTAGGGAACGGTGGCCATGGAGCTGTGATAAGAGCCCATGCAGCGTCGAGCGAGATGTTGTTTAAAGTGCAAAGTTGATTAAAAGTATTTCCTCAGTGGTGGGTAATTCTCTTCACTCTGATCAATAAGTGGCTCCTCTCCAGTGCGTGACTCTGTGTCAGGTACCTCAGCTTCTCTCTCTCTCCGCCTCACACGTTCTCCTCTCCTTCCCATTCTCTCCTCCTTTCTTTCTCTAAATATCCTCTTTTTATGTTTCTCTTCACAAGTCTGTGATTTTCTGATACAAGTACGCCTCTCCCTCCCTCCCCTCTCTCTCCCCCTCTCCTTCTCTTGCTTTCAGGTCTAATGTATTTTTTGTGCGGCGGGTTATTAGCGTGAGAGCGGCGAGGCTTGCGTGTGTTTAATCAGGCTTGTTGAGCATGCAGGTTTGATGTGTGTTGTCTCTGTGTTTAATCAGCGAGCTGCTCGCTGCAGGTTTGATGTGGACGGAGAGTTAATAAAGCAGTATCTTTGGTGCCTTCATCAGCTGCAGCACTTTGTTCTGCCTCTCCTCACACCTCCAAGACAGACAGCTGCAGTCTCTGCGCTGGAGCGTCAGCAGCGCTGTGCTAACACATCTGTCTTGGTCTCATCTTGGTGGTGGGCAGGATTTTTCCTCAGTCGTTTTATTTTAAGATCAGGCCTCTTTTTTTTCAAAATTGTGTTTGTCTAAAACACCTCCTGTTTCTTTAAAACGTTAACAGACTGTGTAACAGCAAAGGTCAAGTCCTTGAGATGGACACCTTCACATCCTGGCCTTGGTCCTCAGTTTGGTCACTCCTAGGTCTGAGTGTTCACTCTTCATCCATTTTGAAAACGAACAGAAATATGTCAGTGAAAACCACACACAACCTCACAACTGTGACGTTTGAACCACAGAATATTAAAAATATAACCTCAAGAATTTATTGATTATTCAAATAGTTATTGCTTATTTTTCTGTGGCTGGATTCATTCCTTATTCATCTGTTCATTTCTGCTTCTTCTGACGTAAAATTAGGCAGTTTACATCGTCACTTCATTGTAAAAATATCAATGACAGCAGCTGGTTATTGTTAACAAAATTACATTTGAACATTAATACTTTTGATGTGTGATCAGATTTATATTCCTGGAATCCAAATTTATATCTAAACTAAATCAGGAATACTATCAGGAATATTATAATATCTGTTTTATTAAGGCCCATATTTGAAACAACAGGGGCCTTTTGTTGAAAAAAGATGTTTCAGTTCTTTAAATTGTAGTCAACATGTTTTGTGTTGGCTTTTACTTCAAATGACACCAGCCCTGGTTTTATATAAACTGAATGCATGAAAGTGAACAAAACAGTCAAGCTGATGACTCCACCCTGGTTTATACAAACTTCAGATGTGCATTTATCCTTAATTGTTAAATTTCACACAGAAGGCCTATATTAAGTGATCAATAAAAAATCACTTTATATATTGAAAATTGTTATTTGTTGCTGCTTTATTCTGGAGTCACACTTGATTAAGCTTCTTTTTTTTTTTTTTTTTTTTTTGGCATGAATAAAACTCGACAAACTGCGCTCTTCAGCATAAGAGTCTTTGTCCAGTTGAGCTTCGCTCTCTACTTCACCACAGCGTCTTTTGTTTTGTCAGATCTCCTGTTAACCTCCAATCATTTGTGTCCATGTACACTGTCAGTGTAGCTACTTGTGAAGGCAAGACAAGTTCTCCACAGAGGCATGGAAATACATTAAAAATAGAACATTAAGATGACATTTAAAATAGCATTTAAAGTGAAGGAGCAGTTTGTTCTGGAAACGTTGAACATTGAATTGTCAGGTTGATGCTGTTTGCTTGCTCTCCGTCTGGAAATCGCTCTGTGAAGGTTTTTACACTGTAGAGAAAATTCATCAAGTTCCTCTGTGTCCAGGAATGGCTCTGAAATATTTCCTGAATCTCATTTTTCAACGTTTCACTTAAACTTTTATATTTGCCCGAGAACCATTTTGGAAAAATAAATAAATGTGAGCTTCAGGCTCTGCTCATGAACAGTTTAGATCCTCCTTTAGTTCAGCGCTGCTTTTGGATAAGTCTCAACTTAATTCATGTCCCTCCTACAGAGATACACATGTGGGCCATGTCTTTTATTATTGCTCCATCTCTTGAATGAGTTCAGTCCAATTTTCCTGTGGATATCACACTGTAACAATTAATAAGGCTTTAACTTTTAAAACTGGCAAATGAAGTAGAATGTGCTGCACTTATCACACAGGCCCAGCTATCCTTTCTGCCAACTATCCGAGACAGGACGAGGAGGGGAACGAGAGAATATTTCTCCTTGGATAAAAGAGGGGAGAAAGTGGAGCTGAAACTTTTCCGCACAATTTGATGTCTGAAAGCAGTGATGCAGTGATTGATTCATTAAACCAGAGCCGTAATGAGGAAAGAAATCATAATTCAAACTTACATTTTAAAGAGGAAATATAATTGCAATTTTATACAGAGAAGTCCCTTTGTACAATTATGATTAAAGGAAAATTAATTGTATGAAAATGTCCTTATAGATACTGAAAATTAGATCTAGCAAAGCTCAGGCGACATAGACCTAATTCTAAAATTATTGTGTACAGGATCGATCTTTTTTTTTTTTTTTTCTCCTCTACTCTTTTTTTTTTTTTTTTTTTTTTTTTTTTTTCTTTATGAAGGTCCAAATCTAGCTGTGTTAATTTTATCTGAAATTAGAGTGAACCATGCAGGCGTGGAAGTTGAAATTAGCCTAAAGATGTTTCATTTACAAAGACAGAAACACTTTCTCAGTCGGCGATTGTTTCCCAGCATTATCTCTGCTTGCTTTTAATTGCTTTGGAAGTGAAATTAACAGAATTAGAAAAATTGCCTCTCCCTTTTTCTACAAGCTTCTTTATTCACGGGTATTGTTGTGTGCTTTGTATAGATTATAGACTCCTTTTGTTCCAGTATTGTAAATATATACGCCCCTAGTCACGGCTTTAGCTCTGAAACAATCCCCCTGTTCGTTCGACACAACCTAATGGAAATTAATTTACAACCTGTCTGGATTGGGGGAGAAAGGTGGGAAATGAAATCTCTGTATTAATTTCACTCTGACTTAGTTATTCAAAAACAATATGCCCACCCTCCTTGACTTTCCAGTACACCATCATTATGTATGTTGAGTTGTTTTCACCCTCGGCAGTCTGCAGCACATTAACCATTTCTGCTTCACTCTGGCGATCTCTAATCCTCTTAAAAGAAATGGTTACCTCGAATTATTAATTCTGTCATGGTATCCTCTCGGGAGCTGAGAATTACGCGTGTCATCTGATGCACATGAACATAATAGAAACTGCCTTTTTATAATCAGCAAGCCTTGCAACACTAATAACTAGAAATCAGCCTCTAGATGCAAGAAACAGCCAGTAAATATTACATTAAATTTCAAGGTTCAGACTGTTAAAGCACCCTGATGTATTCATATTATAGAAGGAGTATCATTAATGAAGCAGTTCAAAAAAAAGTCGCATTAAATTCATATTAACTGACTCCATTTTTTGGATGTAATCTTCAAACAGGCTAAAATAGATCAAAAGTACTGTATAATTACTATGGTCAGCAGGGATTATGAAACTGTAATTGATATAGATCAGCCCTGCACTAATCACTCTTTTAGCTACAATTTTAGGTATACTGTAATTTGGCTTTAAGGTCCCCCTTGGCTTCTTGCTATTAATCTTCTGGATTAGATTGTTCAGCATGTCCAATTCTCGAAACCCTTTTTTGAATGCGTCCAGTTAAAAAAAAAAAAAAAAATGGATCAGTGTGTTTGGGGTATTTTTCTCCCTTACAGAACATACTGCTCATACATAATCATAAGTAGCTTGTTTAACAATCTAACTTCCTTTTATTTTTCACCTCTCCTGCTCCGGTCTGTTTGGACTTGAGGCTCAAGGGAAGACAATTAAACTCAAATCCTTCTCCTCCTGCAGACCTGAAGTCTGATATTATTCTGTGAAACTTATTAGTCTCTGTCCACAGACACAGATCTCTGGAGTTCTCTACTTGATGAAGCTTTTATTTTTGTGATACCCATTTATGTGCATTTGGTGATGAGACCACCTGACCTAATTAGCAAACAAAAAAGTGATGTGTTTTTTATTCTTTACTTGAATAAATTCATTTTTTTCTAATAATAAAGTGTCTTCATCCATCAGCATCAGGTTCAGCTGTCCAGATGTTTCAAGTCTCTCCCACAGGAAGGAGAATGTAGTGGATTTGACCGATATGGATTCAGATTCAGGTCTTCAGCTTTCCTCCTCTTCTTCACGCAGGTTCCCTTGGGGATCTTGACGGTGTCGAGGACAACACCCTCGACAACCTCAGCCTATCAGGGGAGGAGGGCGGAGTCTCGGACCCAGATGATTCAGTAGAGGGTGACAGCTCCAGCCCCCCGCCGTACACACCACTGTACAATGAAGGTGAGAAGAATAATATATCATATACAGTATGTATGTGTGTACATACTCCTACTAACAGGCACATTTTGATGTGCACATATATATATATATATATATATATATATACACAGTATACACACATCAAAATGTGCCTGTTAGTAGGAGCTGATTGGTTGGCCTGCATTAATCCTGGCTGCATCTACATGGGATTGTTACAACAACAAAAAAGGCTGGATTCACAAATGATTATGTGACATTATTTTTTATGGCGTTCATCTGTGTTCATTTTTTCATCGCATCAAGTAAGTTCTTGAGAACAGCTCCACCAAAAATGTGTGTATACACATATATATGTATGTATGTATGTATGTGTATATATATATATATGTGTATGATATAGCATGGTTTAGTGTTATGACACAGAAGTGGATAGTTTGCAAACCTTCCATTTATATATATAGTCACTAGCTGTGTCCCAGTTCAGGGGCCACACCCTTTAGAGGACTTGGTCTTTTTTTTTCATTGCCGGAGCGCAATGAATCTTGGGATAGGTTGCGCCACGAAGGATCCACCCGTTGGAATCTTCGTTGCCAAGGAAAAGAAGGCCGCATTTGAAGGGGCCTTCGTAATGGGTCAGTCTAGTCACGCTACTGTGACGCAATCAGTCTTCAAATGCAGCCTCCGAAGGATGACGACTATATCACTAAGCTTCAGATCTTTTCACTGGAACTTCTTCCTACCAACAAATAGTCCCCTATAAACTGTCGACAGTGCTTGAGTGAAGTGACTGAAATAACTTTCTTTTATTCTTTTAAACTATAATCATCTGGATGTTCTACCATCTCTGTGTTTTTTGTGTTTGTAATATTACACAGCAGCACACTGGCTGTAATGATATCCATTCTCTGGCAATATGCCTCAACCTGCTTATTGCAACTGTTATGGTAAAATAATCCAGATGTCTAGTTCACTGGCAGTTGTTGGTGGTTATTACCAGATTTATCTGCCTGTTATCTGGCAGGAGACAGTTAACGTCACCCAGAGACAACACCAAAAAAAAGAAAAAAAAAAAAGAGACTGTGGAACCATTATGAGGTTGCAGCTTTCCATTTGTATCACTCTTTTATCTCTGAATAAAAAGAAAGAAGAATTCACAAGGTTCAATCTTGGCTCCAGTGAATCTGCCCCTCATGCACCTCTTATCCCGAGCCTCCCCCCCTGTACCATGTGATAGCAGAGTTTTCAGTCATATTCTTTTGACTTATTCAAGATTTCACTAGCTGTGTTTTTTTAATCTCAAAAATTCCTGCTCTTGTGAAATTTTGGGGCTGGAAGTGATAAGCGTCTGTTGGTTGGCTTGGTTTGATAAACCCATGGAAATCCTGTCAGGTGCTAATCGAGACGAGATTAGAGATTAGCTAGAGGTGTGTGTGTGTGTGTGTGTGTGTGTGTGTGTGTGTGTGTGTGTGTGTGTGTGTGTGTGTGTGTGTGTGTGTGTGTGTGTGGGGGGGGGTGTGTGTGTGTGTGTGTGTGTGTGTGTATGTGTGTGTGGGGGGGCTGTGTGTGTGTGTGTGTGTGTGTGTGTTTGAGGTGAGGAGTGGGTTATGTGTGTATTAGATTGTATAAGAAGAAGATGAGAGAACTCGGGCCGACTGCACACATGTGAAAACCGACTTGGTGTCTTTGTTTCCTTATTTATGTGTGTGTGTTTTAGCCTTTTGCTGCCCCCCAACTCCCAACACACAAACACACACCCCCCTCCCCATTATGCTGTTGATTTACTCCTCTCTCTCTCTCTCTATCTCTATCTCTCTCTCTCTCTCTCTCTCTCTCTCTCTCTCTCTCTCTGTGTGTGTCCCCCCCTCTCTCTCTCTTCTCGGAGGTTCCTCGGGTTGCCCAGCGCTGCCATTATCAGTTCTCTGTAAATCAGCCATGTTTGACGAACCTGCTCTTTCAACCTAGGATCAATACCAGGTCTTTATCAGGCCAGCGCTGGCTAATAAAGGCAAGGCCTCTTATCCACCATCTGGAGGAGAGAGAGAGAGAGAGAGAGAGAGAGAGACTGATGATAACTGCCCTGATAACTTTAGTGAGAAAAACACAGGACCAAGCACTCTGTTCTCTCCTCCCCTCCCCTCCTCAACCTGAAAAACAGAGCCGGTATATTAATGCTGATACAACGGATCGACACACACACATGCACACACACAACTTTATTGAGGAAGACTTGAGCATCTGCTCAGTACGTCTCTCTGTGTTGTGCCGTCGTTTTTTTTCCCCTCTCTCTCTCTCTCTCTCTATCTCTCTCCCTCCCTCTCTCTCTCTCTCTCTATTCTCAGAATTGCTCAGAATTGCTCTACAGTTGCAGCGTCCTGCCGAAACAAGTGAAGTTCCTTTTTTTTCAATCACACTTATACATCACAGGAAACCTGATAAAATCCACTTCTGGACTGATTAGTCAGTATGTCACCTCCTTTTGAACTCTAATTGCCGTACCCTCGTTTGGACCAATGAGAATGATTTTTGTAAACCGCCATTTTTTTTCATCAGAATCTGATCAGTGCACTGATACAGAGAGTGTGTGTGATGCATAAACAGACAAATGACAGAGGTCTTAATCTCTTCTGGTTTTCGTTATGATGGACAGTTAAACACAGTTTTGGTGTTGATTTGTCCATGAAGTAATTAAATGAGTAATTGTTTTAAATAATAAAAGAACAGATATTTCAGTCCTCCAGTGGGAAGATGTGCTGCTTTTATCTGTTTTGTCATTTTAAATTGAACATGTTTGTGTCAGGACTGTTGGTTGGACACTGTTTTCTGTTCTTGCACAAGCTGATGGATTTTAGAATGTGAGGAGCGCTCACCATCTTAACAGAAGTTTTTTGATTTTTTACATATTTACATACATTTTCCACATCATGATGTATATCAGTTCTGGAAACTGATTCTTCTTGATGTTGTAACATTCATTCCAAGCATACTGGTCTGTTTCAGTTCCAGTAGCAGCTCTGCTCATTTCTTTTTTTATCAATAATCATCAATAAGCTGTGACTCAAAGTGTGTTTTCTGCTCTTACTTACAGTATTTCCCTCCTGACTTACTGTATGTGTGTGACTGCATTGATTGATTGAGGTTAGTCAGTGTGAGGCAGCTTCTCTGCAGGAAGCTGGAAGACTGGATGCTCCACACTTTTTTGGTTTTGTCCACTTCCCTTTCAGCTTCATCCGTGCCACCAAACTGATCAATGTGAAGACTGTGAGCACGCACAGTATGTTGATCCTCGAACGTGCGGGAGCAGATGTGTAGAGAAAAGATGCGTAAAGCAGCTTTAAGAAGAGAGAAAGAAGAGGCAGAAATGTATAGTGGGTTATAGAAGTTAGGAGGCGGGATTGTTGGGTGACTTTGCCCTGCAGGTGTGACAGGGGAAGTTCATCTTATCAGATTGATGGAGACTGTCTTGCTATGGGGGTGGTGGTGGGTGTGGTTGGTGGTGGGGGGGGGGGGGGTGTTGGCTGGCAGAAAAGTGTCTGTCGACTCCTCCTGATACCTGCCTCCCTGTCTGAGATGATATGGGAGATAATATTGATAATATTAAACGCAATAACTGTGTCTCCAGCTCCCCTCCCTCGCTTCAGCCCCTGCAGGATAAAATCAATGTGCCATTCAATGTGATTTATAGCTGAAAATAATGGCACTGTTTTTAGGCGGGGGCCGGGGTGGGGTGGGGGTGGGAGGGGGGTGTCTGTCTGTCTGTGTGTGTGTGTGTGGGTCTGCTTGCTTTAGAGTGTGTACAGTATGTTGCCATGTATGAGTGTTTGTGTGTGGATGAGGTTGAAAGGTGGATGTGACGTGAAGATGGATAGTGTGTTTGTGTGTGTGTTGATTTATTTGACAATGCAGATCCAATCTCTCAACTGTTACATTAATAACGACGGAGTGTGACGGCGTCACGTGGTGATGGGGCGTTTATGGCTACTATTGATCGGGAGCTATTGCTTTTTATCGGAGTGGGAATGCAAGGGTAAACACAGTCTTTGTGCAGACAGCTGAGGTGTTATCGGGGTAGGAGCTGAAGATGGGGTGGGATTTGGGGAAGGGGAGAGAGAGGGAGAGAGAGAGAGAGAGAGAGAGAGCACACAACGGGATGAGAGAAGATGGAGCAAGTGAGGAGGAAGCGAGGAGAAGGGCAAAAGTTAGGAGGCCTGGGAATCAGACAAAGGATGGAGGAAACGAGGAGAGGAAGGGGATGAACTGCTTTTTAAATACTGAGAGTTACAACCTGGATTTCTCTTCAACTCTAGATTGTTATAGATATGTTTTTAGTTACATTATTAATGACGTGTGATGTGTTGTCTTTACACATCACATACATTCTGGTAGTGTGTGATGTTTTATTTGATAAAACTGTCCAGTCAGGAGCTACATATCATTTTTATATTGTATATTAAATTACATAGGGAAATGCATTTAATACATTATTTGAAAGCAGTAGCAAGTCCTCCAACCTAAACGATCATATATGTAGGTGGTTTGTCTCTACACTTGGATACGACCCATTGGAATCTATCAGCAACAGGCATACTGGGACCTTTTTTGTTATGGTAGCAATAATTCAACCCTCTGGAGCATACAAGCAGCAGGTTTAAAAGACCTTTGTTGTCATGGTAACAATGATAAACATGCAGTTAAAGTTCAGGAATGATCAGCGTTTGGTTAGATTTAGACACGATGACGGCTTGGTTAGGCTTAGATCGTAGTTTGGGTTAAAATAAGTACTTCCTTAAGGCCAGAGGACCTTCGTTGTCGTGGTTATGATGCGAGGCTCAGGTTGTGGAACAGTCATGGATAAAAGAAAAACTGGTTTCAGACAGTAGACAGCGGCCTGTTGTGTGACAGTCCTGTGTTTTCTTTACCCATCAATCCAGCCCAACTTCCTCCTGACGCCGACTTTGTCGCTCTTCATACTTCATCACCTGACTTCCTCCTTTGCTCACGTCACATTTACCACAGCCACTAGAGGTCACCTAACAATAAAACATAACTATGGATCTTAATCATAGACTCTGTAACGTCACCCACAGGTTTCTGAAGAGCGGTTTTGAAACTCGGAGTGAGCTGCTCCACTGTCACCACCTTGGCAGTGCCTGACTCCGCCCCTCACTCCCAGCTATTCCAAAAATGGACAAAGAGGAGGGGTGTGTGTGGAGACTTTGGTGCATGCTGGTTTGTGGCAAAAATACACTCACCCACCTGTCTCTCAAAGAGGCCACACCCTCAATTCTACATAACTTTAAGTCTTAATAAAACGCAAACAGGTGAGTTATAGTTACAGTTGTCATGAAGGAGGAAATTAGCTCTAGAGACCTAAACTGTTTTTGTACCAGGCTGTAAACATGTTTTTTTCTGCTGTAAAGTTGGACATTTTAACATGGGAGTCTATGGAGATTGATTCGCTGTTGGAGCCAGACTCTAGTGGTCATTAGAGGAACTGCAGGTTTTGGTACTTCAGTTTTGGCCTCAGTTTTCAGCCTCGGATGTTGATGCTTGGTCGTAATAAGCTGCTTGCACAGACAGGACAGTCTCTACAGTACAGTTTGATACTGCTAAGAAAGCACCTTCTGATTTTGTAAGATAGTTCCCTTGTCTATTTTTCAACTGAAAAAACCGGGTCATTTTATTTTGCTGTAAATTATCAGTGAGGTTAATGGTGACATGTTTGTGATCTGGTTCCACGCAGTCAGCATTTGAGTCACCCTGACCCTTCTGATGATGATGCAAGACCAGAGAACAAGGAGAGATCCTCAGCTCAGATACCCGGAGGTGCTGTGATGTAACTATTAATCTGATCTAACTAATCAAGAGTCACACTATTAGGGAGGGACCCAGCAGTATGATGAACTGGCTGATACCAGCTGCAGAGGCAAAGGTCAGGGTTCACATATCCTGTGCATGCTGTATAAAAACACACACACACACACACACACACACACACACACACACACACACACACACACACACACACACACACACACACACGCATCCAGCCATTCAGACTGAAGCACACACGCACAGGTCTAGCCACGTGCATAACCACACATGGATCTCTTTGATCACCGTGCAGGAGGCTGTGTAATCAGCTTGATCAATGGCAGGGATATCAATGCTGATTAGAGGAACACAGGCAGCCTCAGTCCCTGCTGAAGGTGACAGGCTGAGGGGAGGAGGGGGGAGGAGATGGAAAGATAGAAGAGAGAAAGGTGGGGGGGGGAGCACAATGAGACCCACCTACGTTCAGTAAGGAGAACGAAAGAGACGGATGCTGGGCACAGATGAAGACAAACAGAAAGAGACAAAAGTGAAGGTGTGGAGAGGGAAGAAGGGAAGTTTCTGATCACTCTTTGATTCTCCACAGTTGCAACGAGAATCTAAGGGTCCATCTCGTGCGGCGAGGTGTTGTGTTACACAGCTCGGGGAGTCATTTCACCACTGCCTTTGATCAACAGACAGGAACAGCCACTGCCCAGACACACACACACACACACACACACACACACACACACACACACACACACACACACACACACAGTCCCATTTACACACATTTAGACACACGAGTTTTCAGTGGTTTTGAAAGCTAATACTGTAATAAGTTTTGAATTGAAGCTGCCAGAAGTCAATAGTATGTTTAAATGTGTTTGTGTTGTGTATCCAGAGCCCAAGACACAGGACTCTCGAGGAGGCACCAATAACGAAGACGAGGACGGGGAAGAGCGAGGTCCAACACACAGCGGTGGGGAGGAGGAAGATGATGGGGAGGAAGAGGAGGACGTGTTACAGTGGAGGGGTCCAGGTAAGTTGGCTCACATCATATGGACTGTGATTCATTTAATTGTTGGAATGTACCCATACAAATATATAAAAACTGAACAGGGGCAGTAAACTGTCATTCTTGGTCTGTAATGAATCCAACTCTTTTCTTTAGTTACATACACAATAATTATACAGAGCTTTTAGTCAATGATTGCATGGAGTTTTAATACAGGAAGCACTGATGATGAAATCGTGGAAGAAGGGTTCATATTGAGTGTCAACCAAAAGAGCATTTAATGGCAGAATGATATTTGAAAAAGTCTTGTTTTCTTCAAATGCAATAGTAAATATTGGGACATACCTCCACCCTGCCCTAAAGACATGTTACGGATAAATGGACCTCATAGAAGGGCTTCAATTCAATCAGTAAAGAAATGCACATTGTCCATTAAACCAGCCAAGCACGAGACAATATGCCTCTTTCATTTATACAACTCGTAGTGATGGCAGCTGTTACCCACATTCAGATGTTATGAATGGTTCATTCATCTTGCTGCCGGCACCAGTTCACTTCCGTACATTATTAAGTAAGACAAAAAAGAAGCAGGATGAGTATGAACTGAAAATGGGATTAAAGTAAGACTAATCGCAAGAGCAGCTACATGTTCTCTTTCTTCACTACAAGTAACTGTGGATGATGGTGGTCAGTGGTCATGGGTTAACAGGGCTGCTCATCAAGCCTTAACACTGGTCTGACACCAGGCTAATGTTATCCTAATAAATACCAGTTACTGGACGCATGTTACTCAGTTGGGTTGAAGTTAGTTTGGACTTGTGTCAGTAGCTCTATTTGTTGTTTTTTATTTGCATCAATCATAAATGAAATCAAAGTGTTGTGGGCGTCAGCATTGCAATGGCCTCTATAAACAAATTCATGTATTGTCAATTTTATTAGTATCTGCTACCTGTATTAGGTTTGGGTCGATTTTTGGTTTTGCCGGTCTGGTCTGGTGTAGGAGAGTAAACCGGTTTGATTTTATGTGAACCTGCTGAACTGACATTTTTTCATTACGACAGGTTCTGGCAAATGTAAAAGTAACGTACATCAGCAACCTGTGGCAACAGCGTCATGGCGCTAAATCCAACTTGTTTTGTATTAGTAATAAGGACTATAAAAATGTGATTAACATAACGTTATGTTTGTTTATAAACGGAGAAACGGTGTCACTAGCGTCTGGCTTCGAATTAATTGCTGACGCGAGTCTAGCGACATGAACAAGAACAAAGTTCAGTATTGGCGGTTGGTGAACCGGCTTAGAGGTTTTTTACTGCCACCAAGTGAACTGGATTCGCTACATTCAGTCTCATTATGTTCCACTCAGGAACATCTGCAGAGTGAAGTGTGACACCTAGAGGTAATTTGGTAAACCAGTCTGGACCGGTGTTTGGCTTAAGTCAAACTTATTTAAAACTATGACCTGAATGCTGTTCCTACTGTGACAAGTCCTCGACAGAATTCCACCAAGCAGTGGAAGAGTACACTGTATACACGAAATATACTTTGCTTAGGCAGCAGCGACATAGACAAAGATTTCAATGAAGCTCATAGTTTTTCAGAGCTCTGATCCAACTGGTGGATATCTCTCTGTGAGTAAGCAAGTTTGCAGTCCACACTCACAGTCACAATACAAAACAAGGCAAAAACTAAAGATGAAAAGCTGAAAGGCTGAGAGGCCGCACAAAACACTAATAAGAGTCTTTAATAGAGATCAAATAAAAATATAATAGATTTTAGGTAAACTTAATCCAAATCCTGACACATTTGGACAGTTGGTCCAGGTGGGTGGGGTTTGGGGCATGGCTGAGGGCAGTGCCTGTTTTGTTGTGACATCACAAAGTTCCAGAAGTCCTGACAGCTGGTTTTAAGGCTCAGGTTCTGAATACAGGCTGTGTGTATTTCTCTGTGGACTGAGGCTTTGATACTTTCACAGTATTGATATAGAACCTAGACCTGATCTATAATCAAACAACACATGGACATCTACCTTTAGACTATATGGACCTTTAATATGCTCTCAGGTGGATCTCACCAGCTCTGTATGGCTGTATTTATGTGTCTGTGAGTTCTTGTGTGCATCTTGAAGGTGCTCTTACGCGTTGCCTCTTCCAAGTGTCTTTCAGGGTCCATTGTGTCCTACTGTTCCCCTGTAAGAAATGTAAATATGACAGGCCAGGGAAAATTTATTCAAGTCGTAACAAACACACACACACACACACACACGCGCGGCTAAGAGGAGATAACAAGTAAATCGCCATAATTTTATTATTTATTTCCTCTCTTATCGAGGTTTGTTTGGTTATTTATTTCTCTCTGTCTGTTGTCTTCAATGAGTTAAACAATGCAAGAAGATTACCGCACTATCTCGCATTATTTCCTTTTCAAGCTGTGCACGTTTTATGTACGTCTATGCATGTGTGTCTATACAGTATCAAGTGTGTGTGTGTTTACGAGTGTGTGTGTGTGTGTGTGTGTGCACATGTATTTTAATTCCTCTGGTGGGGAAGAGAGGATGTGTTCATTATCGTCCTGTCCCAGCCTTGTCCCTTTAACAGTAATTGGAGCGATATTAATTGCTGTGCGGTGGCTGGTTGATGGTAGCACTATGATGCGCACTGATAGGGTCCATCGTCTTTTTTTTTTTTTTTTCTTCCTCTCCTCCTCACAAACTAACTGCCGGGTGAGTGAGGCAGGGGAATGGAGGAGGAGGGGGGAGGGGGGGGAGAGTAAGGGAGAGAGATAGCCCCTCTATCAGCTCCGGAGCAGGCGCTGTCTTTATCAGGAGCACGATTGGCAAAAAGGAAACTTTGACCGGTCTGAATTTTTCTCTTATCGTCAAGCCTCCCCTTCCTCCCTCCCTCCCTCGCTCCCTCCCTCCCTCCCTGCCTCCCTCCCTCCATCCATCCACCTTCTCCTCCTCTGGTCTCTCCATCACCACTAACAACCCCACTAACAGCCCCCCCCCCACTCCCTCCTCTCCACCACTTTTCTTCCATCTTTTCATTGTTTCTTCTTTTTTCGTCCCGCCTGTCATGTGGGACTGGAATCACCGCCTAATGTGCACTTGTTCTTACAAAATGTTCACCATGTATCAGACAATTCCCATAAACAGATGAGAGGAAAAGTGTATTGGCTGCTATGGAAATAAACAGGGTTTTATCTCCTGGGAGTGTTGGCATTCCTCTCGTTTCTCACTGTTGTTGCCTCTCAGACACTTGCGCTCCTGGGACCACAAGTTTCAAGCTTTTAATCTTATGGGGTTTTCAGTTTAGTTGCTTTGAGGCCAAATCATGCCTGAGGTCCAGCAGTGTCACTATATCCTTTATGCATAACACCTTGTTTGTGTTGCAAGATATTGAGTTTATATTGTTTGTCTTTGCCTCTTCAGCTCCCATGTGGATTGAAACTATGTTATTTGTTGTTTTGTGACTATTTGGAAGAGTGGCTTATGTGTATGTTTTTTTTTATAATCATTACACAATAAACCTTTGTTTTTAGTTTAATAGTAAAGAGAAAAACTGACAAAAATTTGGATTAACTGATTATTTTTAATAATAATAATAGAAATGATAGGCATTCTTTAATAACAGGTTTGCAAGCTTTGATGGATGTTAATAGTAGAAACTAATATTTTAATTACCAGTTAATTCCAAATACTTTTCACGATTATTTGACAAATGATTTTGTTTTCCAAATGTGAGAGGATACAGCAGTATACTCATTACAACTTCTCAGAGCGCAGTGTGATTTAAATATATAAACCTGTTTTATCCATCAAACAGATAATCAATTAACGATCATGTATGACAAAAGAAAGGATCAAATCCTCACATTTCAGCAGCTGTAAACAAAGAAATTTGAACCTCCGAAAATGACACTAATCATCAATTGACCTTGTCAGTTCTAGTAGAGAGAAATTGTTCCTGGGCAGCTCAAGAAGAAAAGGGATATTAATGTCTTTCATTATATTTATATAATGAATAAACTCAGAAAAGACAAGAATATTCTCTTTTCTTTTCTACCATGCTGTGAAGTTGATCGACCACTCAACCTCTGTATTCTATTCATAGATTTGCTATTTCCTTGGGTTTAGTCAATTAACACACAGTTTAAAACAAAGATCATCAAACAGATTTATAATAGCTGCAGGATTTTGTTTCCTTTTTTTGGATCAAAAGTTACTGACTGTGTGTTTTTCCAAGTTTCTTCAAGTTTGTTCAGTTAACAAATGAACAGCTCTAAACATGTGTTGCAGTCTTTATTCCTCCCCCCTTTTTGTCCTCCTGTCTTTCCTCACCCTTTTCTCTTTCTTTCCTCTTCATGTCTTCTATCTAATCTCTTTATACCTCTTCCAGTTTTTTACCTCTATTGGTCTTTATTTCTATCCATCAGTCTATGTCTGTCTTTTCGGCCACTCAGTCCTATGGTTAACTTGGTTAAAATTTACATTTACATTACATTTACTCGTCCAGTAAACCATATTACATGTAGGCACATATTTGCAGTCTTGTATAATAGAAAGTCTAAATTCACTGAATATTAATCTACTAACTATATTTTAAATTCAGACGATTTTATTTCTCCTTTTGAAATAAAATAATTCCAAACTATGAAAAATTTAATTTCCTTTTCTGTGCACAGTTTGTCTTCTAACCTTATGATAATAATCTCTTAGTTTATTCAAATAACTTATTCACATAATTCCTTGTCGCAGTCATTACTGTTCAGACAGACTGATATTAACATAAAACAGAGAAAATAACAACAGAACATTTCAATTCATGCTCTCTGCCTGTTTTTTCCTTCTGCTTCAAGATAATAAAATTCATTACTGGACACAAAATTTTTCAATCAACTATTTGACACTGTCTCCTCAGTATGTAATGAGTTGTTTATATGTCAATCTGAATAAATTCCTTAGTCATTGATGATAGTCAAAGCGATTCTTTTTGTTTCTCTCTGTCTTTTATTTTTTTATTTTG